CTGAGGGCCAGGGTTTGGGGGTGGGATGGCAGGGGTAGGGGAATGGTTGGGCTGGGGGAGCTTAAAGGGCTTTGCCAACCCAAACCATTCTGTGAGTCTGTGATGTATGCATGCCATGAACCTTTTCCCTGTGCCATAGAACTCAGTGGTATTCTGTATTCTTCTGTATTCTCTCCTCACTTTGCACTTGGAAATCTGTGGTCACGATGTTGTTTGATCTATTTTCCTTTACCCGTCAGTGAGGCAGAAGAAAAGGTTAAGGAGAGTTTTGTGGTGGTGGATGATGTTTAAGAAAGAAAGCCTATGGGCGAGCTGACTTTTCTGCAGGGACCTTGTTCACTCATTCTCTCGGCCCTCGATAGAGACATTTTCTGAGAGGAGGAGGAGGCTGCTCCTGGACAAGTGCTGCGTTGGGACCGGTTGATTTTTCAAATAACAGAGACAAGAGAGGTGTGCTGAGCCCATGTGGCAGTCGGGCAATATCGGGTGTGGAAGTGCTAATGAGTAACTCGCTAATTTAGAATTTTTTAGGGAAGCTCCTTCTTTGTAATACCTCAAATTCGATGCGCTAAAAAGCTACTGGTAATTTCTTCTTGCTTTACCTGCAGTTTAAGTCACTGGTGGGGGGTGTGGGCCGCCGCTGAAGAAGGTACGTACATGGTCACCCATCCCTTCTGGAAGGGCTCTCCTGAGCCAGGGTCACGCTGGTGACAGCAGAGCCAAGAAAATCATGCAATAGCGAAATAGCAATTAAAAAAAAGTGGAAATTATTTTAAGTCATGATGGTTAAAAATCCATATTAAGCGTGTTTGTGACGTGACGTGACCTGCGTGGGCAGGTTGCTGTGGGCATCTTTGTGTTTTTGAAATGAGTCCAAGATCTGGAACAAGTATGCAGAAGTTTGGGTTGCCTTTTGCAAATAGCATTCCTTTGCTTCCACAAAACCAGCAATGTTTGGTACCTGTTGCTCCCTTGGCCTTAATTTCTACATTTTCCAAAAATAGGTGGAGTTCTTGACCTCTCGTTCTTCCACTGAATGGGCGTATGGAGTCTTCTAGACAGCAGTGACCTTTTTCTTCTTTTTGAGAAACTGCCAAAGCTGGGAAGGTCTTGGAGGCCTGCATCCTTCAAACCTTAGAATTGGGAATTTTTCACGATAAAAGGCTTACTTGATCTAACAGTAACCGCTCAATGCACTTCATTGCCCCATGTCCTGCATCCAGCTGAGAGTTTCTGCGCGCGACGTCGGGCCGTGTCGGCGCGGAGGCTGCTGGCTGCTGGTTTCTCAGCGTACCAAGCAGGAGCCCGGAGCCCGAGGGAGCTGCGATCGCAGCAGTGCATGTTCCTCTGGGTACTCGGCTGGGTTTTCTTAGGAGGAGAACAGGGTTTGAAATTCCCCCCTGCCTTTGGGCTTCTGGCTTGGGAGCTGGAAGAGTTCAGAAACCGGTTTGAAATGCATCCTGCTCAACAGACTGGAAGCCCCTTTTCCAGGCTGTCCCGTTGGTAGAGCTCTTCAGGATTTTCTTAAAGATCAACCCCCCTTTCCTTCTGTGTTTTTGTTTTCCCTATTTTTTGGCAGGTGCAAGACCAAAGTCTACCCCGACGAACTCCCCAACACAAGCGTAGTCATCGTGTTCCACAACGAAGCCTGGAGCACTCTGCTTCGGACCGTGTACAGCGTTATAAACCGCTCGCCGCACCGCCTGCTTTCTGAAATCATCCTGGTGGACGATGCCAGCGAGAGAGGTGGGTTTGGGGAGGTCGGAGGCCTGTTCCGCCCCGCGTTTGGGGATCCTATGGAAGGGGTTGCGGCCGCCCTCCCATCAGTGCTGATCCGGCCCCGCGCCTCCTGCCGAGCATCTCCGACCGCTGCTGGGGCCAGCAGCAAACGGACGCGGTCGGCACCCAGAGTTAAGGGGCGCTTTCAGGTGGTAGCAGCGCCCGAGTTGGTTGTTGGGCTGTAAGTTGGCTGTTCGGGGCTCCTGCCCAGAATTCCATCAGCGCTTTTTTGCTCTGTGGTTTATCACTTCGCATTGCCGTAAAAGACAACGCTCCCTCACACCCCGATCTGCCTCTCGCGCCGTCTCTCAACCCCCCCTGTTCTGCATTTCAGGTCCCCTGAATGTCCAGACTGAGCTGATTCCTTTGTATTTCTCATATTTGTGGCTCATTTGGTTTGGTCTTGGCTTTTTTCTTCTTTTTAAACCTAGTTTTTAGAAGGAAAACTGTCCGCGTGTGAAACTGATATGACCTGGAAAGGGCATCACATTGCATTCTCGGAATGGAATCAATGGAACGCTACATTTTCCTGGAGTAGCCGAATGTATGTAATGGCAACCACACCATATAGCTGCAACTGCTCAAGAGGCAGAGGGTGCAAGCCAGGCCGCCCTTTATTTCCACCCCATGTAGCATTAACTTAACTCTAATTCCTCTCCTGCATTTCCCTGCTTCAGAAAACAAGTGGGGTTAATGCTTCTCCGTGCCAGAAGGCGGAGGAAGACTTTAGCCCAAGTAACTACATTTCCTAAAGGAAAAGTTTTGGACTCCTGAAGAGCTCAAAGTTCATCAAAAATAGCTGTATTGGTGTTGAACCACAGACACATCGGCGGACTGTAGTGGTTTTGTACTCACTACTGGTTGCTGGTTTATCTCAAGGGAACCGGTGGTGACTTACTTAGAATCCTAGAATCGTAGATTTAAAATGCCTGTGATGTCTCCCCGAGGCGCTCTGGCGGACGGGTGGGTACGGACGGGCTCTCGGCCCTGCGGCTGAAGCTCTCGGGCTTCAGCAGAACTCAGAACATGGCCAGACGCGGTTCCCGCGTTGCGGCAGCGTTCATGCCCGGCAGCCCTTGGAGGAACTCTGCGGTGATATTTGGAGCCCGCGGTAGCGGCTGGACCTAGCTAAAGGGATTTTTTTTCTTCTTTTCTTTCCGATTATCTTTGGCAGAGTTTTTGAAGGCCTCGTTGGAGAATTACGTGAAAAATCTGGAGGTCTCCATAAAAATCATCCGGATGGAGCAGAGGTCGGGGCTGATCCGCGCGCGGCTCCGCGGGGCAGCGGCCTCCAAAGGGCAGGTGATCACGTTCCTGGACGCGCACTGCGAGTGCACCCTGGGCTGGCTCGAGCCGCTGCTGGCCAGGATAAAGGAGGACAGGTACGGGGGGCCGCTCCGCGCCACTCCTGGGCTTCACCGGGCTGCTAAGGAACGGGAAGGAAAACAAATCGCTGATCTGGAAATGAAGATTTGCTTAATTTTTTTTTTAATTTATCAGGGAGATAACATGTTCTCTAGTATTTGTGTTGAAATCTTGATTTCTAAACGAACATGTGGCAAGCTTTTGATTCTTGGGGCAGGATCTCTGGTGCTGGCAGTAAGAACATTCATGCCAGTAGCAGTAGCAACTGGTGCCGTTTGCTTTCACGAGGTCTGGCTGTTCCCCGTCTTCCTCCCTTCTTTTTACCAGGCACAACTTTCTGTCTGTGACCTCCAGTGCTCTCTGAAATTTGCACTCTTTTTCCTTTTTTTTTTCTTCTTCCCTTTTTTTTTTTCTTCTTCCCTTTTTTTTCTTCTTCCCTTTTTTTTTCTTCTCCCTTTTTTTTTTCTTCTTCCCTTTTTTTTTCTTCTTCCCTTTTTTTTTCTTCTTCCCTTTTTTTTTCTTCTTCCCTTTTTTTTTCTTCTTCCCTTTTTTTTTCTTCTTCCCTTTTTTTTTCTTCTTCCCTTTTTTTTTCTTCTTCCCTTTTTTTTTCTTCTTCCCTTTTTTTTTCTTCTTCCCTTTTTTTTTCTTCTTCCCTTTTTTTTTCTTCTTCCCTTTTTTTTTCTTCTTCCCTTTTTTTTTCTTCTTCCCTTGCCTACGTGCCCTGGGGGCACGGGGTCTGTCCCAGCCCGCCTACATGCCCTGGGGGCACGGGGTCTGTCCCAGCCCGCCTATGTGCCCTGGGGGCATGGGGTCTGTCCCAGCCCACCTACGTGCCCTGGGGGCACGGGGTCTGTCCCAGCCCGCCTACATGCCCTGGGGGCACGGGGTCTGTCCCAGCCCGCCTATGTGCCCTGGGGGCATGGGGTCTGTCCCAGCCCACCTACGTGCCCTGGGGGCACGGGGTCTGTCCTCACCCAAGCGGGGCGTCACATACGGAGCCAGGGGGAGGCCGCACCAGCGTGGCACGGTCCATGAAGGATTCGGCAGAGGAGCGGGAGCCCTGGCAGGGTTGGGTGTTGGCAGCTTTCAGCCTTCGGCAGCGCGACGAGGAGCCGGCGTGTCCAAAAAGCCGCGGGCAGCACCTAAGGGGGGTTTTGCACGGCCCCGTTCCTGCAAGGGAATCCCAGCACGGAGCGGTGGAAATGGGGTTTTGGGCAGAGAAGCCTGAAAATAAGTGCAATGTTCAGCATCCTAACAGGAAAAAAGGTTTCATTTTAAAAAAGCCTATTTGTCTTCTTGCAGGAAAACTGTTGTCTGCCCGATCATCGATGTGATCAGCGACGACACGTTTGAATACATGGCTGGCTCAGACATGACTTACGGAGGGTTTAACTGGAAGCTGAACTTCCGCTGGTATCCTGTCCCCCAGCGAGAGATGGACAGGAGGAAAGGAGACAGGACCTTGCCTGTCAGGTAAGGAGCGAGAACCAAGAGCACCGCGCGGCTCGGCTCTCCTGTGTGCTTGTTTAGGTAGATAATAACGCTTAACATCTAAGATTTTGCTGAGGTGTCAGAGAACGCGTGTTGGATAGCTGCGGCACGCTGTTCAGGGTAGAGGGGACCAAAATCTGACCTGTCCTTAATGCTGCGAGCAGTTATCAGAGCTGAGAAAACTCATTTCTACCTTCTTTCCAACGGTCAGTAATTCAGAATGTTACCTGCTGCTTGAGTTCCCTCTGGGTTTGTCTTCTGCAAATGGCCTGTTGGCCTTGTGTTTACAGATGTGACTTGCTTTTTCCTTAATTTAAGGCAAATATGAGAACATATTTCTGAACTACGCATTTTCGAACATTGAGCCCACGTATTCGGTTATGATGATTTGCGCTTAAAATGCGAGCCTAGAAAATAAAATCGGTGACCGTGCGCACGGAGTCCAAAACGATCCAAAAGCGTGTTCAGAATCCCCGTCATCGTTCTTGACCTCTTTCATTTAATTGCTCAAACCACAGACTGTGGCGAAACTTCTAGGAAAAAAAATGTAAATGAGGCTGAAACCGAACAAATTGAATAAATGGCTTGCAATGGGTTATTTGCTCAGCTCTAATAGCTTCTGTGGTTGTCAAAGGAAGGGGTGGGGGGAAAAAACAAACGCTTTGAGAAGTGGATGTAATGGTTCCAAACGTGCCTGAGAGCCATGATGAAGTGGACAGAATTGCAGTCCTGCATACCCCCGATTGAGCGCAACAGGCAGATAAAGGGAGAGCCAACTCAGGGCCAGCAGCCACAGCACAGCCTGCCGAGACCCTTCCAGGTAAGGCCATGGGTGGGCTGAGAGAAGCCTTTCAAGATCACCAAGCGGCCAAAATCCATCGCTTTATGTCCTTGCATGCCCAGAGTCAGGGAAGGGCTGGATTTTTTTTAGATTTTGTTTGCGGGAAATGATCTCAGGAAGGGCAAGCAGGGAGCGGGAGCGGACCCTGTCCTTCGCCCAGGGGGGATGATGCTATTCCTGGGTCACGAGAACTGTTCTTCTCGTGATCTAAAACCTTATTGCTCAGCTGTGAAGTCTGCCAGCAGCTTCGTCATTAACGCTGAGGTGTGCGTTACAGTGGGTAGGGTTAATTATCCTAACGAGCTGCAGAGCCTCACGCTGTGCCACAGCTCGCTGGGCTGCGTTTATCCCGTCTCTCCCGTGCCGAATTGATTCACAGGCGCGGGGAGCTTTCAAAGAAATGCAAATCCCAGTTCTTATTTCCTTATCTTGGAACGGGGTGGTACTTCAAGTTAATCCAGAATCAGGCATGTAATTGACTCTTAAAATGATGAAAACAAAAAAAAAAAGCTTTATTTTTTTTCCCTTTTTTTTTTCCCCCACCAGCTTTTAGCTGGTGATTGCCTGGGCTTTTGGGGATTCTCCTGGTACGGTGGGTGGTGGTGAGCGGAGCGTGGGTGAAGGAGCTGGAGGTTAATGCCAAGTGCCACGTGTCCCATGTTTACCAGTGACACCAGTGCTTAGGAGGGCAGGGCTGGCCCCGAGGGCATGTAATTCATAGAATCATAGAATGTTTTGGGTTGGAAGGGACCCCTAGAGGTCATCTGTTGTGCTGGCTTGAGACCAAACCGTCAGCTTTTAGACCTACCGATGCCCTTTCTGACTGCGTCGCGGAGGCATTTCCGTCTCCTCAGTGTCAGAAGAAGGTGCTCCCTGTTTCATTTTCCCTGCAAAGCAAGAGAGCTGTGGAGCTGCCCGGGTGTAGCGATCTGTCCTTCCCTGTCGGAAGGCTGGAGGTCACCAGCTGCTTTCATGGCCGGCTGGCATTTCCTAAAGCTTATCAAGCACCGCCCAAGAGACTGCAGCAGTCAGTCCTGAGGTGTCGGAAAGGCAATCGCAAATTCTGCATCCAAGGAGAAAAAGTAGAATATTTCATAGAGTCACGGAATAATGGAATCGTTTGGGTTGGCAAAGCCCTTTCAGCTCCCCCAGCCCAACCGTTCCCCTACCCCTGCCATCCCACCCCCAAACCCTGGCCCTCAGCACCGCCTCTGCCCGGCTGTTAAATCCCCCCAGGGCTGGGGACTCGACCCCTTCCCTGGGCAGCCCCTTCCAGTGCCTGACAGCCCCAAGGGGAAGGAATTGTTCCCCATGGCCAACCTCACCCTGCCCTGGCACAACTTGAGGCCGGTGCCCCTCGTCCCATCGCCCCTTCCTTGGGAGCAGAGCCCGACCCCCCCGGCTCCCCCCTCCTTCCACGTAGTTGTAGAGCAAAATGAGGTCTTTCTCAGCTAAGTTAAGAATGGTTTTGGCAGCTGCTGCCACCTGAATATTCAAAAAAAGGGGGGATAAAAATAAACAAAAGCCTAACCCACACCAAAAATCTAGAAACAAATTGGCAAGTTCGTTTTTTTTTTTTTTATTCCATGTTGCTTTCCCCACTCTGTAACGTTATTTCAGTCCCATGTATTTGAATTATTCATATTTTGAATATTCATATTTTTTCTTTGTAATCGATGGAATAGGTATAGAACACAAACATCGTTGGGTACCCTGTTTGTGTGCATGTCTCAGCAATGTAACGCTGCACCCAAATTCTGCCTTTTGTCCCATTAATGATCCATGTGACTGACAAAAGCTTTCCTCAAAATATTTATCTTCCGTAATAACCCTGATAAATTCCTACCTTGGCTTTTTAGATTTAAAATCTAAACTGTACAGCGCGTACATTTTTGAACTACGGATTATTTTATACACCATTTGTTACTCATGCATAATTTGTATTATTGTGGGAATATTTTTATGGAGAGGATCGGGATAGGGTAGCGATAGGAGCTCACCAGTCGGCGTGGGCAGAGCTCAGCCCTCACGTACACGCTGACCATTAACCCCAGTTAAAGGTGGAAGGTGCCGTACCCTCCAACGGGGGAGCCTGATCCTCCCTGCTCCGTAGGTGGGAACTGCTGCTTGCTTCTTTGCCTCGGGAGCCAAAGGAACTGTGAGATTCCTGCTAGGCGTCCGATACCCGCCTTTGCTGGAATCTCTCAATTTAGTGGGAAAAGGTTAATGAGTTCAGCGACTCCAGTACTAAACCCCCCAGCTAATTGTCAGGCAGTGCAGCTGTGGAAGTGCTTTCTCACTGACACCCGTTAGGGAACTTGGATTGTCTGTCCTACTTTTAGCAAGTGGAGCAGTGGGGATTCGTAGGTGCCTCCCATAGTAATTAGTGATGTCCCATACTAATTAGTGATGCCTTGGGCAGATCGGGTTCTGATCTTAGAGCCATACCTGGATCCTACCCCTGCTCCTCGCACACTGCTCCTGGCCACTTTGGCCCCTTTCTTCTTCTGGTTCTCAGCCCCCAGCCTGACGTCCCTTCTCTCGTTCCCGCTTTCTCCTTCCCTTTCCCAGTTTTCCTCCAGGTCAGCTAACCCCAGGCGAGCGTAACCTTTCCCGGAGCCGTCTGAACTGGTAACTCTTCCCAGAGAATCGCAGGGTTTGCAAAGGCAGCAGAAGCCCTTCCCACCTGCAGGCGGTCCCCGTTGGCAGCCGGCGGGTGAAGGTGGGCAGCGCTGGTGACGGGGGGGTCGTCCTGGTCCTGCCGCCTGCGCCCCCCCAGCTCAGCGCTCCCCGTCCTGGGCAGAGAGAGGGTGAGAGTCCAAGTTGTCAGGTACAGGGAGGTCTTGGGGGGTTTGGTTGGGTTTTTTTTTAAACTTGCTTGCAATTTTTTTACACGTACAACGATCAGAAGAAGCCAAAGTCACATCAGGGAGGTTTCAGTTCCCGAGGTGTCTGTGCTAGGACTGCAGCTGTAAAGTGTGAGAATAGGAAGGGGACGTTTAGAAGAAATCCCCGAGGAAAAGATTGTTCCCAGGGATCACAGAATCCCAGCACGGCCGGGGCTGGCAGGGCCCTCGGGAGCTCCCCCAGTGCCACCCCCCTGCCCAAGCAGGCTCACCCAGAGCAGGGGGCACAGGACAGCGGCCAGGCGGGGGTTGAAGATCTCCAGAGAAGGAGACTCCACAGCCCCCCTGGGCAGCCTGGGCCAGGGCTCGGGCACCCTCACAGTCAACAAGTTCTTCCTCATATTCAGGGATGGAGCTGGTCGAGTCAAACAGCTCATTCAGCGAGGTTCACTAGGGTCAGCCAAAACACATTTCTTTCCAGTTGTATTTGCGGAAATCGAGTGTGAACAGAGGGTCCCTGAGCCGCGGGGCTTGCAGGGACCTGCCTGTGGGTGTCGCTTTGGGGCGCGATCCGTCCTCTGAAGGTGCAGCAGCCCCCAAGCCCTCACGTCAGTGGGTAAATGTGGATTTTCTTTTGAACAGCGAAGGCTGCTCATTGCTGTCCTGACGCACCTCGGGCCTTCACCTCCTTCCTGTACGGAGTGAAAGCTGTGACTCCCACCGATGGTCCCGGGAGCAACCTCCGGCTTTGTCAGCTCTGTAAATGATGGGACCTTGCCAAAACGCCCTGGTTTGAGTGCAAAGCCCCTTTCTGTTCCCAGGGGGCTCTCTGGGGGCAAAACGGGGGTGGTTGTGCTGTGCAGCAGAGGTGGAGCTTAAAGCTAAAGCTTCCCGGGGGCGATCCGGTGAGCATGGGGGGGTCTGGGAATTAGGAAGGCAGAGAGCTCCGGGCAGTGCGGTTCCTTCCAGGGTGCAGCCTGGTTC